AATTTCTCTGGAGATATTGGGAGGATAACAGAGTAATTTTTTAGGAGGGGGAGCATAAAACACGAGAGCCGAGCCTTATCCACACAGTGGCCCATACAGAAAGGTGACATTTGAGAGAACAATTGCTAGGTTGTTTGGCCTCATTTGCGGCTATGAATGAGGCTTAAGAAAAGGTGTCTTTGGATTGCTACTAATAGTCATCTTCATCATTCCTACTTGCTCTCTCTCTCTCTCTCTCTCTCTCTCTCTTTCTCGGTTCCCTTATGAAATAAGGGCACACAGGTAATAAACAAAGCACTATAAAAGATCAGATTGAGGTATTCCGTGCGCTCATTCAATGTCGGAGCAGGCACTCTGCACTCCACCGCTGCCACTTTCGGCCTCAAAAGCTGCTACGAGACTGAGGACTAGTAGTGGGATTAGACTAGACCCCTTCCTCCCCTTCTGCGACCTTGCTGAATTTAAGCGGATCCCATCTTTGTTCAGCCAAACCACACCTGAGAGCCAAGGGACAGAGGAAAAGAGGGCAGGATAGAGACCCTTGGATTTGCTCATGTGGATGCTGGATCTTTACCTGACTTTCTTGGTCAAGCCTCATGCCAGATCCAGGTGAGTAGCTGCCTGGGTTCAGAGGCTGCCTGTCACTTCAACCTGACTTTCCTCAGCTCTGACAGAGGATTAGTTGGTGACCCTTCTCTTTTGAACTCAGGCACTGGAGGGTGTGCAATCTCGCAGCATAGAACCTTCCAGCCAGCTGCCTGCTGCAGGAGAGGCAGGCTGGTCTCTGCACAGGATCTGTGTTAATGCATAGGAATTGGGGGAACAGGAGAGGGCAGGGGGCTTGTCTGATTTTGGGGGGATGGAGGGAAGTATGGACGATCCTTCTCCTAACAGGCAAGTTTTCTTGCCATCAGTGTTCTCATTCCTGGCTGGACCTTGGTGGTGTGCTCACACCCTCCAGTGTCATTCTCCTTTGCTTTTAATCTGCACGATTCTCCAGAAGCAAACCAGGGAACTATTGGAGACTATGATGCACCCTGCCAGATTGCAAACACAAGAAAGACAGCGAGGAAGCCACAGGCACCTTCTATGGATCTGGTTTCCTGCAGTGGGTTGGTAGCTGGTGCCCTTATCTGGAGAGTTCATCCATGTGCAGTAGCTGCTGAGCTGGGCTCCCATAGGCTGGCCTCTGAAGATGAAAAGGGGGACCCCAGGGCTTGGGGCTCTTCATCAGAGCCTGGCTATTCTTTGCTCTGCTGTTCTTCTCCTGCATCACAACCACCATCCCTGGAAATATAATCTGGGAATAGGCCTGAAGGAAATGACCCTCATTGACAGAGAGGACTCGGGGGTTTCAATGGGATTGTGTCTGTACTTGTATTTGGAGGGGATGCCCGACTGAATGTCAAGTTCATACTTCAAAGGTTTACTCAGAAAAAAAAACTGTCCTAGCAGCTACGTATTGGCATCTGTCTTTCCACCAGTGAATAATACTAGTGAGTTCTTCAATACATACATTCCATGAGACTAAATTTCTCTTATCTTGACACCATACGATTAGCCTTGGGATTTTTAGTACTTTCCAAATGCCCTGTTTATGAACCTCCGTTTTGTGAGTAAAGGAAAAGTCACCGCGGACTTTGTATATCTCCCAGTTGTTACACAGAAAGGCTTTCTAGGGTTTAACTAAAACTTTGGACTTCCCAGATGTGAAACAGATGTGTGTGCATGCGTGTGTGTGTGTGTGTGTGTGTGTGTGTGTGTGTGTGTGTGTGTTCAGGAGAATATACAAAGTGGTGCGCACACCTGTGAGTATATTGCTTGCTCTGTTCCAGTGTGTGTTTGAGTTTGGAGTATAAAATACTAATTCTGGAGAAGTTGGAAGCATTGTAACTTGGTGACTTAGGCTCAGGTTCTGAGTCTTTCAAGAGAGACCCTTCCAATGCCCTGCCGTGGGAAAGGAGCCGGAATGCTGAGAAGACACAGCACTCATTCGTAGGAACGGGGTTGGGTTGTGTTGGGCACTTCCTATATGTGCTTCACAGACACGTGCAAAGTTGAACATACCTAGATGTTCTCAGTAAAGAGCAAGAGAGGCTTGAAAGCCCCTCAGTTTGCCATCAAATAGCGGATTGCCTCTTTACTTGTTCAGCTTTGAGGATTTTTTTTTTTCTCTACCTGCAAGTAGCACTGCTTGTTGATTTCTGTAGGAATAGCAAGGCTTTTCCTATGGCTCAGAGAAACCTATGAAACCTCTGGTTTTGTTCATGCCAGAAACATAGTAGGGATTCAGCAGTTGCTTGAATATGGAGGGAATGATTGAGTAGCCCCTGGATTTTAGGTGCTGATTTACGTAGTATGTTCCTTTGCATTTATTTATATACACGTCTGCTCCATGAGTGGCAAATTCAATTGATAAATTCTTTTCTTATTGACACATTTAATTTATCGTTGACTTACATTTGGTCAGTCAATTGATTGCTTTGATATTATGTAAATATTTCAAAACCCTGGTGTCCTTCAACTCTTTGTGTAGCCCCCCCATCATCAAGTGCAGTTAATCAATATAGAGTGGGTAGTGTGATTAATGTAAGACTATTTTCTCTGACAGTGAGGTTTTAAATATTTTTGCAGTGTGAGAACCCATAGGCCAAGTCCCAGAGCAGAATTTAATCTCTTTTTCCCTTATCTCAAGATAGGAGGCTTAGAATGGCCAGTGGAGTTAGTGGTAGCCCCGGGCTTAAAGGACATTTATTCCTGTAAGGTGACAGAGGCAGAAAGCATATCGTCACTGGAGAGTTTCACAACAAACTCTAAACATAAGTCACAAGCTCCGGCTGTGTTCTAACGAGCAGTTTGCCCAAAGTGGGGTGAAGCAGTTGCTCGTGATGTCTGGCCTTGGACATCTGCCTTTTACAGACCTAGGGAGCGGTGGGGACCCAAGTCCCAGCCACTGCTTCTTCCGGTGTTTATCAGCCTTGTGGGTAAGGGCGGCATTAACCACTAGCCCAGCAGCTCCGAGAACAACATGGCAAAACTCAGGAGAACACACAGCTGTGTGTTTGGGGCTTGAAAGAGACTCTGAGGTGAACTGGTGCTCAGGAGGATTTGAGAGCAGACTGGCTTATAGCCATTCCTGTTGGTTAATAATTGCACTAATCTTTTTGAGGGAGGTTTTGTGTGTGCATGTTCCCCGTCCCCTCAATCCCCAAGCCAGAGAACAATAGGGGCACTGTGTTTCTGCACTATGCCATGAGATAGGTCAGGGCCGGTGACCAGGGGACAGGGTCTTTGGTGGATGAGCCACCAGCTCCAACCCATTATTTAGGAACCCGAGATCTCAGCATTGCAGCGTCGGCCGAAAGATAGGAAACGCCTCACTAGCTGGGCCATTTGAAGAGCAGCTTCCTGGGGTTATCAGATGCTGTGACTTTGGGGGCCTCAGAAACAGGTGTGATGCGTGCTGGAAGAGAATGGTGTGTGTGTGAGAGAGAGTGTGAGCACCTGCACAGGCGGGCACGCTGTTCTATGCATTTTTCTCTTATTTAAAATTCACCCAGGAAAACCTTTCTGCTTTTTTGAAAATGAAGGCTGTTAAACTAACATTTGGGGTAGAGATGCCTGGTAGAGATGGCCCTGCGGGGTGAGCTTCAGGCACGTGTCTGAAGAACACGTTTACCCTTAATATTAAAGTCAGATTCTCAGCCGTACTATGAGGAGTTGAAGTAATCTGCAAGGTTACTCTGTGATGAGGATACATGATGTATCCGTGGGTTCTTCATCTGCTCATTCAGTGAGCCCTGGATCAAAAATATTAAAATATATATATATATTTGCATTTGAAATGGACAAGTGCAGACTTTTTTTTTCTTGTCATTTTCCCCTAAACTATAGAGTATGACAACTATTGACATAGCATTTGCGTTATACGAGGTATTATAAGTAAACTAGAGATGATTTAAAGTACGGGGGCAGGAAGTACCTTATATGAAACCCGATGGCATTTTTACATAAGGGACTTGATTATCTGCAGATTTTAGTAACCACTCTGGGTCCTGGAACCAATCTCCCTCAGACACTGAGAGACACCTGTTCTCTGGATGCACAAAGTGTTGTTTGTTTATTTGGCAGTGCTGGGGATTAAATGCAGGGTCCCATGTACAAAGTGCTATTTACATGTTAATGAGAACGTACTCAGCGATTTAGAAAGTAAATGCTCGCAAATACTTATGCCCTGGTTATACCATGAAGCTCCGGAGTCCTAGGGTCTCAAGGACAGGTTAATTTTATATTATGTCTGTCACAGTTTGTGCTAATTTCCTCAACCCTCTTTGCAGCACATGATCGTTTTAAACACCCTGAGCCTACCATTTCATTTTAGTGAATTTCCGTGGGCTGGTTGCTCAAATGTTAGGCATTGAGACAGCACACCACCCGGGGTTGGTGGGGAGTGCAGATACCATTCCCCTCTGTCTTTCTGCCCTGGGTTCTAGATCTTTCTCTATCTGCTCCCTGCTAAGTGTCTGCTGGTTCGGCTACGAGGAGGATGGTGTGGCTGGTAGTCGGAGCACACTGGTAGTGTAATTTAGCAGGAGCTTGCACGCTAGCACAGGAGGCTGGGGAAAGCAAGAGGGGTTAGGATATTTCTGTGGGTGCGGGTAGAGGACATGGAGAGGGGGAAATCAGGCCCTTGGTGGCCAAAGCCCATGGAGAGCTGCTGATCTGAATTAAACTGAGATCCTGGCAAAGGCGTGGTTTCTGTCTCTCAGACCCGGGGACTCCTCTAGCCTGCATTTTCCAGCTCCTCATGAACATTTCCAAATTAAAATAAAATAAAATAAAATAAAAATACGTGTGGAAAAATACAGTAGAAGCGACAGCACCTTCCCAGTTTCCGACAGTTCTGTTTTGACTTCACCATCAGCCAAACTGGAGCCCTGAGTAGCTGGCTTCATCTGTCACCTTGAGTTATTAACTGCTTCCCTGCCTGTCTCGTTGGGTGTCCTCCTGGCTCTGGGCCTCTGGCTGGCTCAGTGACCTGTTAACCCCTCGTCCTTCTCTGGGTCTTAGGGCTCTGTGTGAAGGCCCTGTTTCCCTCGTGGAGACAAATCTTAGCTGACTTCACAGTCACCTCCCACTAGGTTCTGCCAAGGAGTGGCTGGGGCCGAGGGTGGCCGGTAGGGGCAGGAAGGCCGACTCCCGTGCCAGCTCTCACAGGGTGCAGGGTGTCCTGTAGAAATTCAACAGTGCGGTCTGTTTCTCTTGGTTAAGGACCAAAAAGCAGAGGGAGGTTTGTTCTAGAAATGAAATGATATAGGAGACCCTCTATCGAGAAGCAGAAGGAGTGCTAATCCTAGTGTGTGTGTGTGTGTGTGTGTGTGTGTGTGTGTATAATTATGCCAGCAAAGTTCGTCTTTGTGGCCTGGAGTTTGGGCATCTTAATCTCTCCTTTTCCCATCACCCCTCAGGTACCATGCACCTGAACTTTGTGCTTTGGGTGCCTGGTTCTTCTTGGACAACTCCATATATTCAGAGCATTACCCAACCCTCTTTCCCCTCAAAACTCACACATCCCTGACACCATCCTCCCTGGAGCCTTGTGCTGTTAG